CATAATTTTGTGCTGTCATGTTGCTGGATGCTGCTGCCCACCACTCCATCTGAAGTCTTCAAGTTCAGCAACCAATTTCTGTCTGACATGAAGTAGATGGTAGATTACCATTGGCATTTTGCCTTTTCCATGCAGAAAAGACTTTGCATTTCAATTGTTAAGACTTCTAGGAGGAATCAGAATAAGATTTTTGCAAAAATCTGAGGTGGAAGTGAGACCAGACAAACTTCCATCTTGGTTTAAAAGTTCTGTTTGGTGATTCTGTATTGCTGAAGAAAGATACATGTCACATGTCTTGAGACGCTGCCAAGAGATACGCCAGCACATAGCTTCTATAACTATTACACATGCTTCAGTGAAAGCATGTGGAGAATTTAAATGAAACTGCATGCTGCATAAGTAATCCAGTCTCCTACCTAAACTGGCCCAGGCAGGGGCAAATTTTGATTGTCATAACTGAAAATATTTGTCAGAGACTCAACCTATTTCCCATTAATTGAAATAAAAACTTTTCACTGAAAATTTAAACTCACAAATACATTTTGAGAGTCTGTTGTGTTCGAGGTAAACAAACAAATTATACTAGGTACTGTGTCTTTAGAGATATTTGCTTCCCTGTTTTCATTTAGGTAAGCCCAAAAAATGAGTTCATCTGGCATGGAATTCTGCCTTCTAAGTTTGTTTTACAATAACCAGAAAAGGCTGTAACTTCTTGGTAGTGAGATGAGTGACAAGTAAGCATAACTATTCCCTTTTACATTTTTAAAAGCCATTCCAATTAAATTTTAAAATATTGTTGAGTGTTTGGAAAATCTTAGGAGTAATTCTTTCAAAAGTAATTTTTTCATGCATGCCCCTTTATGGTACTACTTGGCTGTATTGTAAATACTAGTAAGGTTCAATTTCAGAAAAGCCTGAGTCTGTAGCATATATTTATGAGTCTTCAAAGGCCCTGTTGATACCGAAAGAAACCAAGGAGTGAGTGGTGGGCAGACTTGACAGATTAAGCAGAAGACAACTGGACCTGCAGACACAAAAGCATGACTGATCCCGGGATGACCTTGCATTCATGTGACAGTCTGAGATAAGGAGAGCATTGTGTAATCTGAGAAAGTTCAGTATGAATAAAACTATGATAAAGCCACTATGATTACCCAGTGATACACCTCAGACTAGCACATTTAGGACCCAGGCTTTACTTCTAGCTTTGATTATTAACTATATGCTTAGGGGTTTTTTTGTTGTTTGTTTGTTTGTTTGGTCTTTTTACTTATGTATATTTCAGTGTCCTCAACTGGCAATTAGAGCTGTTAACACTGTTTATCTTGAATGTTATTGTGTTGCTCTTTGTAAAGAGTAGGCATTGTTATTCTGATGGTGCTGTTTACTAGGCTTGATTTTTTTTCCCCTTGCATCTTTTTCCAGATTTCTTGCAATACTAGGAATAGAAAAGGACAGCCAATGAGCGCTTTAGTGTAGACTGGAATAAATCTGAATAGAGGCAACAGGAAAGTGGAGTTAGGACAATACAGAAAATAAAAGCCAAACTTAATACTTGTCCAATGTCTTGATTTTTTATGGGTCTTTGGCAAACAAAAACAAACAAACAAAAACCAACTACCTACCCTCTCTGGAATTCATACAGTTTGATTACAGATGTTATAGTTTCTGATTTTAGATCAGCCAACGAGGATTTATATGCATTTCTTTTGCCTCAATCCATCGATCCATCTGCCTAGTCATTCAGCTGGCCAGCAGACATTTACCAAGGCCCGGGTAAGTCCAAGCTAAACATTGGCCAATGCTGAGGTGATAGAAGGAAAACGTAGTTACTGTTTGTAAAGAATACAGTCCATGATGGTTCGATACTTACTGCTTTTCCCAGGGTTTAAGGTGATAGTGTAAGGATAGGAGGCAATATAATCAGATGCTGAAAGATTTGGATCCTTTAATAAGGCCAAATTTGTCTCTTTCATTTGGTTGTTTGAAACAATTCATGGGAAAGAGAGAGGAGTAAACAAAACATCAGCACGGGGAGCCTATCTGACTCACCCCCGTCACCCTCACATCCTAGGTAGTGTCTGTGGTTTCATGTTGAACTTACTTGACCCTCTCTGAATGTTATTCATGCTTTGTCATGACATGGTACATAGAAAATAATAATATTTTTATGCCACACTAAGGTATAATGGACAAGAGCCCCTTTGGGGTTCTTTGCCACGCCACACACCCCCACCCCCACCCCACCCCTGTTGTGGCATGCAGAAGGTTGAGAAGGAGCAGTGTCTCTCCACACCTGTGACATGTTTATAGCACACTGCCCACTGACAGGCACATTACAGGTTGTACAGTGTGCTGTAGGTTATCCCTGGGTCATGCCTCCTTTGCTGACCCAGGGCCCCACTAATTTTACTTTCTCATGAACAATTTGGGCATGTTAATTATAGTGGCTACATGGTATGTTTTAGCAAGAAAATGTATAGAATTTAGAAGATTCCCAAGAAAATTATTGAAGTAAAAAATTGCTATGGGTTAGAGACAGCTTTATAGGCTGGTTCAGGAATTGGGAGTCCTAGGCTTCCGTTCTAACTTGGTCATTTTTTGGCAAATCACTTCTCTCTGAACTTCAGTTTACTTACCTTTAAATGAGAGGGATAGAACTGGATGAACTTGGAGCCACCCTGTAGCTCTAACGTGCCGTCGTCCGTTTGTACCTCCTATAAACCTTTGCTGTTGAGTCAGGGCTTTGCCCTGAGCGTTTGCTGTGTGCTGAGCACTTAGTAATGGCTTCCTGGGCATGCCCTAGGGCTCCTGAGAGCTGAGGTTTTCGCCTAGATGCTAGAGGAACTGAAATCAAACTGAGATGCTTCATAAAGAAAAGAGAGTAGACACTGAACAGTGTCCAAAAGGGATGAAGCTAGCTGTAATAATGTAAAGGGTTTCAGTGTCTTTTAAATGTAATAGATGGTAGGCTTTGCAGTTCAGAATCTTTCAACTAGCTATACACATCAATTAAAGCTGGCTGCCTGGCAACATTCACCTCTTAGGATAAGTTTTCCTAACTTTCATTTCTAGAAATACTTATTGACGATACATCAACTATCTAAGCATATATATCAAAGTCAAATCCTGATTGTCCAATTCGATGGAAGAAAAACGAGTGTTAAGAATCCCATTAAGAACTTGCTTTTTTCGTCGTTACCTGAGGCCCTTCTGTCCAGCATGTGGAGGGTGGATGGGGCCGCCTTGCTAGACAGTAGCCAAGACCGGTAATAATGCTAGATAATCGAGGACAAACTGCATTCTGGTAAGTCACTTCCCCCGATTATAAACTAACATGGTAGCATTTGTTCCCTCCATAAATGTTTTATTGTTTATTTACCACATGTCAGATGTTTTCTAGGAATTACAAATTCAGACCTGTGAGGTTCCTGCAATAGCCAGACACAGACCACAGACAGACAGACAGACATGATCCAGTGTTATCGGCCTTAAAAGCTTTTTTTAATAAATAGATCAGTAACTCATTTGTTGTGTTCAAAACACATGAATTCTCCCTTCTTATTTTCAAATAGCAAAAAAAAAGTCATGTGTCAGATAACGTTTTAGGACAAAACTAAATCATGCATTCACATACCAAAAAATACTTCTAAATATATAAAAATTCACCCAGTAATATAGCCTTAAGAAAATATGATGTTTTGAATGCACACACAAGAGGATACATATACACATATATATATGTACATATGTAATACACATATAATGTACATGTGTGTGTGATATCTACTTGTATATGTTCAAAAAGGATATTTGAACCTAGAGAGTAAATAATCAAGAGGAGTCTGGGTTTGTGTCAGCACATGTGTGTGTTTGTATGTGTGGGGGAGATTAAGAAGGGAGGGAGGCCCGGAAGAGAAGGGGAAAAACTACTCAGTGGTCTTAGAAGGAACCGCAGTAGTTAGTAAATTTTGCCATACCTCCCACCACCCCGTCTATATCTTTTCTGTATTGAGCTGCAAATAGTGCATCATTATTCATTCCATCAACTGATATATCATTGGAATTAAGTTGACCACTCACCCAAATCAAACAAAATGAAAAAGGAATAATTTTAGTTGAAAAAAATATAAAAATATCCACAGACATCATAAGTAGTACTTATGTACTCCAACAACTGTGATAAAGAAAAGTTGCTGAAAGTCCTTCCAAAGCAGAAAAAAATTAAAATCTCAGGGAATTTTTTTCCTTTACTGGCCAGAAATTCATTCCAAGAAGTACCAGCCTGTCTCATTTCAAAATGCTTCCCTTGCCAAGGAAGCGGAAGCGGTCATATTCTTTCCCACCAAACTGTGGGTGAATTATAATTATCCTACCTCGTGTGGGACAATGAAGCAGCAAACATCTGCTATCCTGAATCAAAAACCCACGAATGAAGCTATACCAAACTGTGAATCATACCTGGACTCAGATTAAAGGATTTGTGTTGTGTTTACCTTTTTCTTTATTTTCTTTGCAATTGAAAATATGGATTTGTTAGCTCTGGCTCCATGTTCTAACTGGAGGGAAATGTATGGATTCCATTCTTTGACTCCTATTTTAATATTTAAAAATCCCAGCTTTAAGGCAGATGAACAGTAATCATTTTTCTGTTTGATGTATTATCTCATAGTTTTCTTTTTCTTTGAAAGGATGGTACAGTTAAGAAAAAATTTACAAGTGCACAATCTAAGAAACAAGATCCCTTTCGTTTTTTCATCTGCTGTAATGACAATAACAGAGAAGTGGAAAATGGCATTTTAAACTTTATTTTCAAAAGAAACAAGCTCAAAACTGCTGTTACTTATAATTTTATGCATCGTGGTATTTATGGTAGCTCTAAACTGTTCACCTAGAGTAAAGACAGGAAAATGGAACTTCAGTTCTGTTTTTGTTGTGAAAACATATATAATCTACTTGCTTTAAAAAAATTTTTGTGCATTTTTATTTTTATCTATTAGAGAGCAGAAAGACAAAGTCGCATTATGGATTCAACTCAATATGCAGAATTCTGTGAGAGTCGACAATTAAGCTTCTGTAAGTAAGCATTTAACTTCCCTTCATTATATGTTTAAGAGATTATGTGTTATAATATAGTAAAGTGTGACACAATCTCTGTTCCTTAGAAATTAGTGAGTTTAATATCTGCATAGTTATAACTGGTACAGAAACAGCCTCTGCATTGTAAGGGAGCCTATAAAAAATTTTACCCCACTGTACTGTTTTGCAATTAATAGAAGTAAGAGGTTTTAAAGGGTGTGAGTAATACACAGAGCGCCATGTTAATTATTCACATTACTTTTAGTAAAAAAATTCCATTTTTCTTAATATTCCCATTTTAATATTTTTTCCAGTTTCTTAGTCATATTTACACTAGTATTGCTGATTGTGCTTGACCCATAACGGACTCTGGTAGTGTAGTCGTGACATTTAAAAGCCCCTAATACGTATTAATAAATAATTTTCCATTTATTTATGCACACTCTGAAATTACCACAGAGGAACACATCAATCATCTCTTCCATCTTCGTCTTTAACCTCCTGCTGTGGCATGCATTCAGTGTTCGCCAAATTCATTAGCCTATGCGCTTGTAACACTAATGACCGAGGGGTAAAATTAGGCTTACGAAAAGCACATTAAGGTTCACGTAAATAGTGGGCTCAATTGTGTAGCAAAACATCCTTACAGCAAGAGTTCAGTGATGACTAAGACTCTCAGGATAAAGGTCAAAGAGTAAGTGTGATGGAAAGTCTGGTTAAAAGCCTGACAAAGTAGCACATGACCCTGGTCTGAGGGATTATAGACACAATGGTGTCTTTAAACGAAAAGCTATTATGTGGTCACAATAACAACGGATTTGATTTGGAAAAGGAAAATGAGAGCTTCATTTATAGATCATAAAGTGCAAATAAATGACACATTTCAAATAGTGCCCCATGTAAATGTCAGTAAAATATAGGAAAACATGTTTTGGAAGGTTTTTTTTTTCTAACTAAATATACTTTGCAGTCTGACTAACAATTTGGCATCATACATCTGTGAAGCATTAAGTAAATGACACTTCAGATCATGGCAATTTCAGCAAATGAGAGGTTTTTGTATAGTAATTTTTAGGTTTAAAAATGGCATTCAAGTCTTTTATAAGTATAAATCTCCAGTTTATAAAGTAACATTTAGTGCTATTGAACTATTTTTTTAAATCATATTTTAAATTTAATTTACTTAAAGGAACAGACCTGCCATTTCATACTAAAACATACAGTCATTGAAGTGTTCTAATGCACCTTTTTGTTTGAAAATCAGATTTTTAATAATTCAATTTTTTGTTTGTACCTTAATAAACTGTGGTAAATGAAAAACTAATAGTTTCCCTTTATAAAATAATCGTAGTTTAAACAGCATATTATGCTTAATTTTTTTCTGTGAAGAAGAGGGATTTGGGTATTTGAAAAATATTTCTTTATATGGTACTCATAGGTGCTTCATTATGAAACCATAGCGGGAGACTCTGTTTTGTGTGCCAGAATGCTGTGGTTTGGAATGCTTAATCCAAGTGGGTCAGCAAATTCAGAACTGATACCCACACTGGTCAGAGTGTTAGACTCTTTTCATTCCTCTTCTCCTGATAAATTACCAGGATATAGGAATTGTGATCCAGCCATATGTCTTCTGAAATGGTTGACCATAGCATTCAGTAATTGGGACTACTGGTGCATTTTAAAATAACAAGCCTATCACTTTATAGGCTGAGGGTAAGTTGTAGAATCGGGACACTGGTCAAATTCACCAGTCTTTTCTTTGTATAAGTCAGAGGGTCATTTTCCTTAAAGTCTTTAAAGCTTTGATTTAGTTATAATTTGTAAAGCTTTTTCCAATCCTTTTCTTTCAATCTTTGTTTAATATGTGGATTTTGTAAACAGATATCTTGATTTTCTTTTTAGTCAATCTGAGAATCTCTTTGTATTTTAATTGATGAATTTAATTTATATGTATTTGATTACTTATACATCTGGGTTTATATATGGTGTCTGACTTTGTGTTTTAAATTTACTGTACTTTTTTATTTGCTTTTCCACCTCCTTTTATTTGTTCCATTTGATTGATTGAGTTTTCTTCATTCCATTTTCCTCAACCACTTTGTATATTATAAATTCTATTTCTGTTATTTTAGCTGCTATTCATATTTTTTTAATATCTATCCCAGACTTAAAAATTATTTTTTCTGAAATTGACAAGTATGTAAACTTGCCTTTTCTGCCTAATTTTGTTCTCCCCAAGGCTTTGTAATGGTTAAAGCTCTCTTTTTTTGTCTTAAAAATGGCTTTATTTTGCACTCATATTTAAATGATAGTTTAGTTGGGTAGTAAATTGTCGCCTAGCAGTTATTTGTTAAAGCATGAGCCTCCATAGTCTTTTAGCCTCTGTTGTTGGTAAGAATTCTGCTGCCTACTTGTACTGTATTTTCCCTGCGGGAGAAACTGAGAGAATGCAGCTGCATTGCCTCGAGGCCCTCTGGTATCCAGGGAAATGAATAGGCTGGCAGTTAGTCCTGACCAATAAATACCTATGGAAGGAAAGCAAGAAGGAGCCTTTACTGTAACAGGTACCGGGAAAACCATGCCCTCTGAGGAAGACTATTCTCAAGTACCCTTAACCCAAAAAACAGTGCTATTTGAAGAGATTGAAGCTGCAGAAGAATATCATCAGAGTGTAATAAGCATACTGAGGCCTCTGATGGCAGGGTCAGGAAGGGACAGACTGGTGAGGACGGATGAGGTAGAAATAATGTGATAGCACGAAGGGATAGGAGAGTGGAAATTAGGAGAAGCTTGAATTTGACTAGTGATCATTGATGAGAAAAATACAAAAATGTGTGAGAATTAACTAACCTTCAAATTCTTATGTAAAGTTGTTTTAATTCCAACACAGGCTGAAAACCCAGATAGTGTCAGAAAGCCGATAGTCCTAGGAAATTTTGTCCTTTATTCGGGATTCTACTGAAATTGTTCATCAGTTTCCAGGATTATCGTCTCTCCTGATATAGTGAAAAGAGGGGGGAAGGAAAAGGAACTCTTTCATTCCAATGCCCCCTCACTTGTTGACGGAAACAAACTATCATGACTAGGGTGTCTGTGCCTCTTTTTTCTGGAACCAGCAGTACCCTGGAAGGCTCCATCTCTGAGCCCATATGCTCCAGGCGACAGGGAGGGAGTTAGAATCTTCACCTGTAGCTGGAATACCGGTAAACCAAGTGAGTGTATGGGACCTCTGTGCATCTTTTTGATGTATAGAAATGTTTGGAGCCTACCCTTCGATTAAAGAAATATCTTTCATTTGTGTGTTCTTTCATTCATTCATTTCTTCTGGGAATATTTATTGTGAGCCTTCTAATGCCAGGCGCTGTTCTGGGTGCTGGGAATGCAAGAGCGGAGATGTGGTCTTTGTCCCCGAATTCCCAGCGCTTAAAATCTAGTGAGAAAGCTACTAATTCTGTTGCGTAAGTGGACAGATCTGATGGAATATTAAGAACGATGCTTTCTCTCACTTTTAAAATAAATTGTTTAGAGCATAATATCTGTTTAATATCTATTCAGAGCATAATGTCCCAAAATATCTGTTTCTGTGTTCCTAACAATCTGTCAAAGGGAGAAATGAATAAGGTACGTTTTATTGATTTTGCCAAATTGCTGTCAGTTAACTTGAACTTCAGAAGTATTCCACAGATGTTAAACAAGTGTTTGTGAGCTATCGCAGCTTCCTAGTTAGGTGGAATGTTGCATGTCAGAGAGTATTTGGAAGATTGGTTACGTTAGGAAGATAGCTTTAAGGGGGATTATCATAATTCTGCCACAGTTGACAACTTTGGATGTGCGCTTCGATAGCAGGACTTAAGGTCTTCAGTGATTTATTTAGAAGAAAACTCTTTTGTATGTGGAATCCATGAAGACTGTACCCAAAAGGATCAAAACATCATGCTTGGAGTTACCATTAAGTGTTTTATATACCTGCGGGATCAGATTAATCAAAAGAATAATCAGTGGGGGTTTTTTTAAGATGATTATGTTATAGACATGATAAAATCTTCACTATCAATCTTTTCCCTCTAGGTCACTGGTTAAATTAGTAATAGCTAATGAAGGCCCTATATCAAGTTAGACTCTGCTTAGGACTGTGGCAGTTTAGACATAGTTAATGGACGGTTCCATGTGTGCTTGGTACTGTTAGGTGTACAGAGAGATATGACACATGGGGTTTGCCCACAGAGAACGCATAATATGGTTTGAGAAATCATAAGCAGACATGAAAGGCTATCCGATGATATAAATGTTCAGTTAATGACCAGAGTGAAGTAGTATATCTTTGGCCTGTACAGGCAGGATTCATAGGAATGAAGAGTGATGGGAAGGCATTCCGGGAGAGGAAGGAACAGGGGTGAACACAGCGGGGATTATACTCAAGGCCAGGTGACACTTTAATAGGGAATCATATAAAGGCAGTTTGGACTCCATCTGCATGGTTTTGAGAGTCAGACTTAAGAACTTGGACATCTTTGTAATAAAGAAAACGTAACCGCAGGCTTAGATCAGGCCAGATATCAGTTCATTCTATTTAATTCTAAATTCATGACTTTGAACCTGTTCTAGTCAGAGACACATTTTGAAAGGTATTAAAAATACACTCTCTGTATGTTTCTTTTTTCATAACAGGTTCTTGCAGGATTTTTTTTTTTCTCACAGGAATAAGTTAAAGTTACATCAAGGAAGTAACTCTTCTGACTATTGTTATAACATAAGCTATGGCCAGTGGTTAACATGGCGTCTTCTGACACAGTGGGAGAAACACTACACAGTAGAAGTGCGAAACATGAAGTGGTTTCTGATGTAGCATAGACACAAAATAAAGGACCCAAATGCATAAGGGATTTCTTTAGGCTAGAATATCTAGACACTAATAAAAGTTTGAAAACTTGGCGATTTGTATGTATTATCTTTCATGCAGTTTTCAAGAGACTGTTTTTTCATTCTGTGATAGTATTTGGTGGTATTAAAGCACTTCAGAAATTAAATTTTCTGTACTTGTTTTTCTTTTTAATGATTAGCCAAAAAAGCCTCCAAATTTCGAGACTGGTTGGACTGCAGCAGTATGGAGATAAAACCCAATGTTGTTGCTATGGAAATTTTAGCATATTTAGCATATGAAACTGTGGCACAGGTAAGAATTCTAATCAGTCATATTAAACCATACATGGCTGCTTTCTCCTTTCCCCTGTCCATGATCAGTTTTTCTCCCCCATTCTGCTCTGTCACGGATAAGAACAGCCATGAGTTTTCTCCTGACAGTCTTATCATTTTTTGAAATTTAGTTCAATTATGTTTCTTTATATCTTCAGCTGTCATGGGGTTTTAAAAGTGACTGTTTCTTGCAGCTTAATCCTAACCAGAAATGAAATCCTGCATACTTTTTCTCAACATTGAATTCTAAGTACACAAGCCTTGTTTAGGGATCATTTTTAAGCTTTGAAAAATAACATTTCTAGATATGTACAGTCCCTGGAGTGCTTGCAGAAACCTGAGTCTAGAATCAATGCCCTCTTAGAGTTTCTCAAAGGATGGCTCTTAGACCACAAACCTCAGCATCTCCTTGGTTCTCGTTTAAAATGTAAATTTCTAGACTACATCCCAGAGCAAATCTGCTAAATTAGAATCTCAGGGCTTGGAGCCCAGAAATCTGTATTTTAAAATGCTTCTTCAGTGATTATGAATTAAAGTTTGAGAGCCACTTCCCTTGAAGGCCAGAATATATCATTTCTCTCCTTCATTGGTGGGTCCCTTTACCAGTCAATGAAGGCATATGCTCATGTCCATAGTACAAATTTCTAGGCAGACAGCATTATCAATAACATTTGGGATGTAATCCTTTTAGTTTTGCCACTTCAGTGACGTGGATGATTATTTCCAGCTATGTGACTTTATTTTCATTTCTCTGATCTCCCAGTTAGTGGATCTGGCTCTTCTTGTGAGGCAGGACATGGTGACCAAGGCAGGAGACCCCTTCAGCCATGCCATTTCGGCCACCTTCATTCAGTATCACAGCTCTGTTGAGGTAAGCATCAAAAACATCTGCCTGACAGACACATCTGTGGATTCTTTTCTCATGTCCAGTATTTTTATTCATAGCTCTTTGGAAAAGATTATGTAGGAATGTATGGCCTTTAGTCAAAGAATCTTAACACATTGAACATTCAAACAAATATTTATTGAGCACGTACTATGAACCTGGCCATAATGATCCACTTAATACAATGATTTTTTTCACCTTTTCTTTTCCTTATTATTAAGCTTCCCTAGCCCTTCAGTGAAAGAGGATAGTGGCAGAGCACTTCTCATTTCCATGGGAGATGAACAGCTGGTTTTGGTAATTGAATAATATTGAGAAAAGTTATTTATTTCTTTGTGCCTCAAAGATGAGAGGGTTATTATTACTTACGTAATACTGGGTTGTCGGAAAAGTCATGATGCATTTTTGCAACGAAAAACATAGAAAAATATGTCATGACTTTTCCGAAACCCAATAATAATTCCTACTTTTATTGATAGTTTTACATTCTGGTTATTGACCCATCCCTAAACATGATATCAAGAAGCATGGCCCCACTCATCCTTTTGTTTAGGTTGGTCCTGTCATGTGAAGCTCACATCTCCTCTGATCCAGTTTGTCGCTGAGATCCCACCTGTGGAGACTGGAAAGTCTTCTTTCAACTTTAATGCTTTGTATAATTTCAGTATAAAAACATTATCTGCAAGTAGTGTGTGCCTGAAAAACAGAAATGTAATATCTCATTGAATGAATTTACTAGTATTTGACCTTTTTTACTAACATAAACAGTTTCATAGAATTCCATCTAATAACTGTAGAGAAGGCAGCATGTAGGTTAGGTTAACATCTACATGTATAAATGTGAAGTGAGCTTTAGAGCAAGTTGGGTGAAATGTAGAACCTGAAAATGGAGAAGCCCCTTTGAGAATCTGATGAAAGCTATAAACTCTTTCACCAGAGATACATTTGCAAATTTTGCATACAATTTCAGGGTGTTCAGAGACCCTCTGAAACCATGCAGTGGATCTAAGGGATCTGTGAACCCGATGCACCCCAAGTTTAAGTATCTCTGCTCTAGGATACTTAGTAAATGTATAAAGCTATATGTCTATGTAGCATGTTATTACAAGCCAAAAGTCTGACATCTTTTTATGCCTCTTAAAGAATCAGATTGGCCTGCAATCCAAGTAGGAATTAAAATGTTTATGTCTATTAAAAATCCATTTTTTTTCTTGGAAAAGGTCATACATCATTATCAGTCAGCATAGTCTAAAAGTCCCTAAAGCCTACCCAGTTGATTAAACACTATTTATTTTCTTTATGTTACAAACCCAAATTATGATGTCAAAGAACACCCTTTAGAATGTCTTTGGTACATGTTCACTTTATGAATATGTGTATACGTATGCTTTTCATTAACATCAGACAAATTTGTTGTAACATTTCTAATTGAAGAAATTTCAGTGAACATAGCAAGCCTAGTTTTCTCTTAACATTCAAGGGATTGCTTGCATGGCTAGGAAAACTCTTCATCCCGTTTCCCCCCCAAGGAAAAGGAACTCTTTCATTCCAATGCCCCCTCACTTGTTGACGGAAACAAACTATCATGACTAGGGTGTCTGTGCCTCTTTTTTCTGGAACCNCCACCCCCGCCCAGCCCCACTTTCTTGGTTCTCCAGGGTGGCCAAGCTGCCCTGGGCAACTGCTCAGCAACCACAGCCGCTGTTCCCAGCTACCCAGCAGTTAAGAAAAATGGCCTGTGTGTGCTGGATTTCCTGGGCTCTCTGGGAGGTGGGAGCATGAGTGTCGGAAAGCATCCTGACTAAATATGTTAGTATAAGCCTCCAACTTTTCCCTGGCCTGCCAGACACCCCTCCTCCTATGTGACTGGTAGTCCAAATGGACTCTCGAGGGAGCTGGAAGGTTTCCTGCCCTTTATTACCTCACAGAACACAAAGAGAAGGGCCACTCTGAAGTCAGACCTTACTCAACGTTACAAATCAACAGCCAGCTTCGGGAGCCTGCTTAAAGGACTTGACCAATATGAGTACAAAAGGGAGACTCTGGAAACTGATAGGATCTCTATTCAGGGAGGTAGAACATTCTGTAAAACAAACAAGGAAATAAATGAGCAAGCAAACAAACAGTTCGAGATAGCAAATACTAATTTCCAAATGGGTGGCATAGACAGAAAGTGCAGAGGTAAAAAAAAAAAAAAACCTCCCTAATTACAATCAAAGAAGACTTCAAAGAGGAAGCTGGGTGTTGAAGGAAAGATAGGACTTTGATGAGATGATAAAAGTGGGGAGAATACGCTAGGCCTCAGAGGCAGCATGAGTATAATTTTACAAGGAAAAAAAAAATGATTAAAATATTCAAGCAAAGGATTCATTGAGGAGGGGGTAGTAGAAAGTTAAATTAGAAAATTAAGTCCTGAGATGCTTAGTTATTAAGGAAGAGATGAAGGTTTCTTGGCTAAAGAGTTATGAGTTCAAAAGGGTGTTTTAAGAAGACCCAGTGGGCGTGCCCTGTACAGTGGGGTTGGAATCGGAAACTCAAGGCATGCAGTCAATACAAAATACATTCTATTTTAATGATTATAATTTCTTGAGCACTAACCATATAAGGAACTGAGCTGGGTTAGTTTGGGTTAGTTAGTCATGTTAGATTAACAAGTTCAGTATTATTAATTCAAGTTAATGTTCTAAAATTTTTTTTCTAATATACGATTTGTGCACAGGAAGCAATGATCTTTAGGACCTATCTTGTTTTTCCTAAGAACAACTCATGCCAGATTAGCTTTGTCCTTCCTGTTTGATAACGTTTCTAGGCAAGTAGATCAAAGAAATACTCTTGAAACCAATATCTGAATTTCAACAAAACATTTTACAAAGCTTAGCAAAATTTTTTTTAAAAAACCGTGTAGAGAATTGTAGGCCAGTAGTTAGCATGGTTAGTGTGGTCGATAGGATGAGGTAGATTAATGATGCCATATGTGAAAAAGACAGAGACTTTGACTTGCCTGTAAATTTCTTAGGAGCCAACATTATGATGTTTCTGATCAGGAAACTTTGTTTTAGTGTTTAGGCACCATCTTATGGGATGGACATTGGCACAGTGGAGGATGTCTAGAGGAGAGTGATCAGGGGCTGAAGGAGCCTGAAAAGATGTCTCAGAAGAAGTGGTTAAATGAACTAGTTGTTTGACCTGTAGAAGTTAGAAAAGAAAGGCTGTGAAATATAACAGTCTTTAAATATTTGAAGTGCTTCCACATGGAAGAGAGAACAGACTTAATAATCTTAGCCAAAGAAACCAGAAGACATGAGGGGTTTTATGAAGAAAGGAAGGCACTAGATGTGGGGGGAGCTAGCGGTATCTACAGTGACCCAAGGCATTGAGTTTGAGTTATTGGAAAAGGCTGGTCACCATTCATACAGATAATGTCCGGAAGGCATCAGTTTGGCAGAGGGCGAGGGTTGGGGGTGGTAGCTTAGAGGTTCCTTTCAAAACATGTTAAGTTTAAAATGCTAACAAAACTTTTAGAAATGGTATCTGAAGAATCCTGATTTTATCTAAATGACTAGACAGATTAAAAACTAACATATTAGACCGTTAGGGGCAAGATGGAGGCATCATTTCCATGGACTGGATAATAATAAGTTGTGTTTTTATATTTGGGAGTTTCCAATAGTATTCAGTACATGAGCTATTTAACAAAAGTGAATGTTTGTAGAAGTCCTGGTCACTTGATTTTAAAGCCACAACTCTTTGGGCAGGGGTCTTACATGAAGTCCTACCCAGACTCGCCCGAGAATACACCTCCTCCTACACCCACAGCCCCATCGTCTGGATCCCAGCACTCAGGGAAAACCACATCAGGATCCCTTGGGAATGGGAGTGCTGGACAAGACTCAGCTAAAACCAAGCAAAGGAAAAGAAAAAAGGTCAGTGATTTTTTTTTTTTTCAGAGTGGAGAAGGTCTTAATTGAATTCTTTTCACAGATAAGGAAAATGTGCTGTTTTTCTCATAATTCAAAATTTTAGAAGTAACCAATTTATGCTTAGCTATACTTAATGACTTGTTCTCAAACTTGAACAGTTTTCTTCTAGATAAAGCAAGATTTTGATGTTTTAAACATTTTATTTTAAAATTTTTCAAGCATACAAAAAAGTTAAAAGACTTATAGAATTAACACCATATATCTGCCATCTAGATTCCATAGTTAACATTTTACTATATTTACTATATTAACTATATATTTACATTTACTACATCTGTGCATCATATTGTTCCTTTATCTACCTATCACTTCAATTTTTTTTGACACATTGCAAAGAAAGCTGCAGACATCAGTGCACTTCATGCCGAAAAGCTTCATGATGTATCGTTTATTTATGGTTCTTATTTTTTAAGGTAAAATTTATACACAGTGAACCACTCAGTTCTTAAGTATACCATTTGATGTTTTGACTAATATGTAAACCTGTTGTTTTGTAAACCCTTCTCAATATATAAAACATTACCTTCAGTTCAGAAAGTTCCTTAATGCCTTCTTCCAGTCAATTCGTGCCACCATTCTCAGAAAGGCAATGACCATTCTGATTTATTCCATCACATATTAGGTTTTTTCTGTTCTAGAACTTCATATAAAGAGAATATAGGATGTATACTCTTTTGTGTGAAATTTAAATTTTATAATTTATGTTTTTTAGTAGGAGTGTAATGTATTCCTCTTTATTGCTGAGTTATGTCCATATCCCTGGTATATCAGTTGTATTCATTCTCAGTTTGGTGGGCACCTAGGCTATTTTTAGTTTTTGAGGTATTATGAATAAACCTGTTATAAGGATTATTATACAAGTCTTAATGGAAAATGCTTTTGCTTCTCTTAGGTAAATAGCTAGGAATTAAATTACTGGGTCATAGAGTAGGTATGTGTTTGGTTTTTAAAGAAACTGCATTTTCCAAAATGGTTCTATCATGTTTTACTTCCACCAGCAAATCTCTGAGAATTCCAGTTGCTCCACGTCCTCTTCAACAGTTGGTGGCATTGTTTTTACTTTTAACCATTCTAGTGGATATTTAACAGTAACTCATTATAGTTTGAGTTTGCATTTTCCCTGGTGACTCTTGATGTTGAGCATTTTTTCATGTGCTAATTGGCCATTCGTATGCCTTCCTTAGGAAAGAATCACCTTAAATCCTTTACACAATATTGTTGAGGGAGGGTTGTCTTTTATTATCAACTTATAGGAGTTCCCTATGTATCCTGTGGAACAATCCTATGTCAAATGTATGTTTTTCACATATTTTCTCTTAGGTTTATGGCTTACCTATTCATTTTCTTAATGATATATTATGATGAGCAGAAGTTTTGAACTTACGATGAACTTGAATTTATCCAGCTTTTTCTTGTATGTTTATTGCTATCTGTGTCCTGTCTGAAAAACCCTTTGGCTACTCCCAAGTCATGATGATGTTCTTCTGTGGCTTTTTAGCTTTTGCTTTTATATTGAGTTCTGTTAATCAAGTCAGATTAACTTTTGTATATTTGTATGAATTGAGGTCAAGTTTACTTTTTTACATATGGATGTCTGGTTATTGCACAACCATTTGTTGAAGACTCTTTTCTACCATTGGATTGCTTTCGTGGCTTTGTTAATTGGATTGTTTTGGTGGCCATCTATTGTTAATTTACTTCTGGAATTTCAATTTTGTTTCATTGACTTATTTGTCAGTTCTTTCATCAGTATCATCTTTCTTGATTACTGTGGCTTTATAGTACAAAGTGGGACAATTAAGTTCGTGAACTCATCGTAGAAAAAGTGCTACATACCTAATTGCTGAATATCACTAGGGTCATCTTTGAAACACTCCCGTTGGGAAGCTATGCACTGATGCCAGTGCCTAGTCCACCCACCCTTCAAAGCAATTTTGGAACTCTTTTTTTGGAATGGCCATCAGAGCTGTCGTCGTATTACCCTTGATGTCCTGAATGTCATCAAAATGTCTTCCTTTCAATTATTTCCTTTATCTTTGAGAAAAAAAAAAAAGTCACTGAAGACCATATCAGGTGAGTAGGGAGAGGGTGTTCAAATACAGTTATTTGTTTACTGGCTAAAAATTCCCTCCAAACAGTGCCATGTGAGCTGGTGCATTGTCATGATGCAAGAGCCATGAATTATTGGAAAAAAGTTCAGATCATCTAACTTTTTAACGCAGCCTTTTCAGTACTTCCAAATAGTAAACCTAGTTAACTGTTCATCCAGCTGGTACAAATTCATAATGAATAATACCTCTGAAATCAAAAAAGGTTAGCAGCATCGTTGCAACAAGTTCGTGAACTTAATTGTCAGACCTTGTAGATCTTAAATTCAGGTAGTATAAGTCCTCAAATTTTATTTTTCAGGCTTAATATAGATATGCTGTGTCCTTTGCATGTCTATGTAAATTTAGAATGAACTTGTTAGTTTCTATCTAAAAGAATGGAAGGAACCGGGGAGGGAGGGAAAGAGAGAAAAAGGCAGGGAGAAAGGCAGGAAGGGAAAAAAGAAAAGCCTACTGGGATTTTGAAAGGGATTAGGTTGAATGCTTACATAATTTGGGGGATATGAATGTCTTAATAATACCAAGTCTTATAATTGATGAACATGGCATATCTCTCTTTATTTATATTATTGAAATCACTCTTTTTTTCACTGAACTCTAGTTTATCTGAGTCAACTATTTTGCTATTTGTTTTCTGCTTGTTCTCTCTATTTTTGTTTCTCTGGTTTTTTGTTTGTTTGTTTTCCTGCCTTCTTTTGAGTTAATTGTGTACTTGTTAAGAAATCTATTTTAATTTATCTACTGGTTTCTTAGTGATATCTCTTTCCATCATTTTTTCAGTGGTTATGCTAACGATTACAATATACATCCTTAAATTATAATTGTACTACTTTACTCACATAAAATATAAGACTCTTGTATTTGTTTAGATCAGTCTACTTCACTCTTGTTCTTCATGCTATGGTTGTCAAACATCTTACATCTACATATGTTATAAACCATAATACTGTTTTTCACCTTAAATAATAAAATGTTTCAGTGAAACTAAGAGAAACAATCTATTTTAACATTTACCATTTCCACTGTTCTTTATTTCTTTTTGATGATTAGAGTTTTCTTCTGGTATCATTTTCCTTCTTTGTTTTACTAAATTTTATTTAGCATTTGTTATAGTACAGGTTGGTTGGTGATGGTTCTCTTAGTTTTCATATATTTGGAAATATCTTTATTTCTCCTTCATTCCTGGAAGATATTTTCACTGGATATAGAATTCTGGAATGTTCTATTTTCAGTACTTTAATGATATTATGTCACTATTTTCTGGCATTAATTGTGTTTAATTATATGTCAGCAGATTTTGTATTATTGTTTCTGTCTATATAACCTGTTATTTTACTCTAGATGCTTTCAGGATTATATCTTTAAGTTTGGTTTTCAACAGTTTGAGGATGGTATATAAATACATGTTTTTCTTTGTATTTATCCTGCTTAGGGTCACAAAGCTTCTTGAATAATTGTTTATGTGTTTAACCAATTGGTAGGCACTTTCAGCAATTATTTCTTCAGATATTTTTTGCTGCCTCGATCTCTACCCTCCACTTCTGAGAATACAAGTAAATATTTGTTAGTTACTTTGATACTATTCCACGAGTGTCTACAGCTCTGTTTAATTTCTCTTTCAATCTTTTCTCTCAGTTATTTAGGTTAGATAAATTTTCTTGATCATTCTTTATATTCCAGACTCTTTTTTGTGTGAGCTCCAATCTACTGTCCCAGCCATCCAGTAATGTTCTATTTCTGATATTTTATTTTGTACTTTTATATTTTCCATTTGAATTCTTTTTATAGTTTCTATTTGTCTGCTGTTATTTTTTATTAGTAATTTATTACAACTTTATTTTGTTTTATGTCCTTGAGTGTAGTCATAATAGCTGCTTTAAAATCTTTGTATGATAAATTAAATATCTGGATTATTTTAGGCTCCAGTGACTATGTCACTATTATGTTGTCATATCTCATGTCTAGTAATTTTGAATTATATTTTGGACATTGTGGGTAATATATTGTAGCTATTTCAGATTCTGTTATATTCCTATGAAGAGAGTTGTTGTTGTTGGTAGTGGTGTGTATGTATGCGTGTTACACAGTCAGTTTACTTTTCTAGACTCAACTCTAAACTTCAAACTCAAATTCCTCTTCAGTGGCAGCAGCTAAAATCTCTCTTTACTTCACTTAGCTTTAGCTGGATTTCTTGGATTCAGTTCCACACAGGAATAGTTTAGAGGTTAGTCAAAGATTTGGGTGAAGTTTATATACTGATTTTTTATTCTGTTCTTTGTGGTGTTTCCTTCCTCACTTTATGGGCCTTCAAGCCCCTAAGGTTGTGTGTCCCCTGTACTGACTGGAGCCTGCCTCTGGCTAAAACAGTAAAAACAGGAAATTCAACCCACTGCCATTCCATTCTACTTATATATACCCCTTCCCGTTTCCACCTAGTTTTGATCAATCTCTGTTGCTTTCAGATACTTTTTAAAAATAATTTGTCCAAAGTGTATACTTCCATCTACAACTAGGTTGGTACAATACAAACCATTTGCCATTACAAATAGTGGAATCACTCCAAGAGATAATTTCATAATTGATAGTAAACAAATTTAAATTACGAACCTCATATATGGTTTCCCCTTTCATTTACAAAATGCTTACTTATTAAGAGGAAATCTAACATATAAGGAACTTCTGTATTGTAAAGCAGTTTTAAAGAGTTTCAGCTATACTACTCTCCCAACTCATTCAGTAACTAAAACTATGGTAACAAAATGTTACCTAAAAAATTTCTTCAGTGGACTTTCTTTACAAAGTATGTAAAAGGAAGTTGTAATTATACCTAGTAGTTATGCATACATAAAATAATTCTTTATAAGTTTGGAAATCCTTGAAATTTTTTTCTCTTAAATATTAAACATGTCTTTCCTAATCTTGCTGAAAGCTACTAAATTAGAGTTATTTTACAGCAAAGGTTTCCTGAATAAAGTAAGTACTATCCCAGCCCAATGTCTAAATTTTCCTAAGTTCAAAATTCGTGGCATCAGAATTAATAATGTCCCACTTCAAATCTATTTATTATTTCTTAATTTACTCATCCACATCTTTCTACGTTTTTATAGTTTTGCTGTATCTTGATTTTTACTCACTAGAAACTTCAGCTATTATAATAATATGAAATAATAAAGCCTCTATTATATATCAGCTTTGTATACTAGAACGCAAGAGATTTGATGTATAGCTATATTCTGATACTATCATTATAATCTTGAGCATGTCCTATATTTCCACTCTCTCATCTATAAAATGGGGTCGGAGTTGGGAAAATTTAGAATAGATGATACCTTGTGTTCCTTCCAGATTTAATTATGTATATGAATCCTTGAGTTCAGTGATTCCCTCGTCTTCTTTTTAAATACCTTTTCTAGTTTTAATTTCTTTAATTAAACAAAAAGCTTTTCCTAACACCTGAATTAAACTTTGTCGTAGAAAATTAACTATATTATATACTGTAACCTTTGGCCAAAAAATCGCCCACTTTCATCTGAAATGAAATCATCTATAAGCACAAAGCTCTGGTAGAGCTAACTATATATACAACAGTGGGGAGAAAGAAGACACTTGCCTGGCCAGTCAGATTGTATATCAGCCTTTGTGGTCAGAAAGTGACAGAAGTATTAGCAATAGTAGTACCAACCTTTCATTTGCTCTAATCTGAGATATGTGTTACTGCTCTATAAGACCTAATATTCCAAGTGTAACAAAAGATCTAGTCCACCATTATGGATGTAGAAAAAAGAAGAGGCAACTATCTGAGATTCCAGGTCCTTCTTAAACATTGGTTACCCTGGAAAGGGAAAGGCTGAACAAGCATAGGACACTTTTATCTTGCCAACAACTTTTAAGTTGAAAGAAAAGAGTCAGGACAGCTATAGACACTTTAAGAGGTCCATGGGGCAATAGAAGTTTCAGTATAACTTATACCACAGTGGAGGGTTCAAACCGCAAGAGATTTTTATTCAGTGCAAGCCAGCAAGGACAGGCAGACTCAAATCCAGGAAATAGGCAGGACTTCAGCTTCCAATACCCAGCATCAATTTCTGGATGGAGACATAAGATAAAATGGAGGGATACAAGAATGGAACATGAATGCAGCTAAGAGGAAGAGGACCCAACATATGAAGAACTTTCCAAGCAGCTTGTACTTGACTTAAGGAAATAAAGAGTTTAGTCCCCACAGAGATTTTGACAAACACTCTATAGACAGCAGGACTCAGTATTTTGTCAAATATGTGTGTTTCAGTTTTGAAAATGTAAAGAATATCCTAAAATATGGGCATAATCAGAATGAGAAAGATGAATTGATACATACATATTATACACTTCATATGTATTTACAACAAGTATATGGTTTTTTAATATTAGATAAAAATATATAAATGTAATGCTAATTCTTCTGAAATAATTTTAAAGAATGTTGCAAAAATGCTAGTATCACTGCTAAATCAAAAATTCTAAACTTGGTATAAATTTTGAATTTGAACAGATTACAAGTACCTTGGTGAGGGACTAGATGTTGATAGAAATGTGAAGATATTTGTTGAGATGGCAACAATACAGGCAATACAGTCTTTTAGATTTAACGGTTCCCTTCCAAAGAACTCAATGGGCAAATGAAGAAAATGTAGAAGTGCACATGGTAACTTCATACTAATGCTTGTAGTTGCTTAATTATAGCAGGTAAACCTGAAATTGACAAAATGGAAAATCTAATGACAGTGTTCACAACATTGAATATTTTTATTTTTATATAAGTTAACTTCGCCTTTTTTGGCACAGATAACATGATTCGACCTTCATATTGTACAAATAGCAACCACAGGTGGTTTCCAATTTATGCTTCCTACTCCAGTGTTCTCAAATCCTATTTGATTGCTATGGCAAGGGTTTGGAGAGATTTTGACCAAAATGTTCTGTACCAAAACCTAAGTAGAGGAAGCGTGGAACACCATTGGCTATGGAGAAAAGAAATGAAAAATAAATGTGTTGTGCAGGGAGAAAGGAGATGCCATAGTGGAATGCACAGGACAGACTTCCCAAACCTCAGTTAGTATGCAGACCACGGTCCCTCTCCATGTCTCCCTTGCATTTCCACTGGAGCTTCGCTGGAAAACTGACTGTAGATTCCAAATATAGCCAATTACAGTAAGACCTTGGATTGCAAGTAACGTGATTTGCGAGTGTTCCACAAGACGAGAAAACATTTCTAATACATTTTAATGTGGTAAACAAACAATGCCTTGCAATACGAGTAGTTTGTTTCAGAACGAATTATGCTTGCAAACCAAGGTATTACTGTATTTGAATTTCATGTCTACAAATGGATAGAATGCCTCAGCTTACTTCACAAGCATTTGTTACACCTAGCAGGTTAATGCATCTCTATTAGTTATATTCACATTTTGGAGCCAAATGGACTACAGAAGTGTCTTTATCAGGTACCTGACAATTAAATTTATTCTAATATATCCTGGCTGAAACTAAGCATTTGGAATAAGAATCGAGAAAGCACTCAATAAAAACCCAGTGCACTTTCATATCAGTGCCAAAGTGAGGGGTTAAAATAACTTAATCTGTGTTATTGTGGGCATAACAGATATGTTATTTAGGCTATTGTTGGAAGGAAATTGAGAACCGTATCCTAGAGTAAATAACTATTTGGCTTATTTCAAATCTTGTTAAAATAATAAAAATAATCAAGATCTGTTTTCTTTTATATTTTAAATCTTATTTCAGGTTCAGCTTGGATAATTAGCAGATGCTCTCGTTTTGTAGGAGTTTTTAAATTATTTTGCTAGTTTGTAATAGGACAAGCGTGCACAAGGGACAAAAAACGCATTTTGAAAGTACAGAAAGGTATACAGTGAAAAATGACTCTTCAGACACTTGTCCTCCAGCCACCCATTTGTCCTCCCAGAGATAAGCATTGTTACTGAGTTTTGGCGTGCCCTTGCAGAAACATCCAGTGCTTAAATGACTGTATAATGTTCAGCCCTTTTTTTGTTCTTTCACAAGTGGTAACATAGTGCCACCCAGTTGGACACCTTGCATCTTCTCACACAGTGCATCTTAGAGATAGGATATGTACGGAGCTCAGTAAGAGTATATGGAACCGCCTCATTCTTTTTGGTGGTTGCTGTGGTTTCTGCTTCATTGAATTGAACGGATGTATCATAATGTGTTTCAGTGTTCCCTCATTGATGAAGATTTAGTTTATCAATCCAAATAGTGCTGCAGTGAATATCCTTATATGTATATTGTTCTGTACTTGTGTAATATATCTGTAGGATAAATTTTTAGATATGAAATTACTGGACCGAAAATGGTTGTGCTTTTACATTTTGATAAGATTTTGCCAAATTGCTACCCATAGAGGTTGTATTAATTATACCCTTACAAAGAATTATGGTAATTGTAGTAATTATCAGAAAAACAAATAATCTTCATTATGTGACTATGGATACTTCTAGACCACACTTATAGTTACCCAAGCTACTGTTTCTTTCTCACAATTCTTTAATGTTGATGACCTGGTGTCTGGTCTCCGAAACAATGTGAAGCAATTATAATTATCATCCCAATTTCACAGATGAGGAAACTGAAGTTCAGAGATATTACGTAACCTGACAGAGCTGGTAATGATACGGACCCAGGAAGCTGGGAAGCTAGAGTCTGCAACTGAACTACGAGACTATAATGTCCATCTTGTGCATTTTAGTATTTTTTAAAAATCATGTCACATACATTTCTTGAGTTGATATCCACACTCTCATTGCAAATACTCTTTCTTTCTTGTGTCTTTTTTACTTTTAAACCTACCTTTTACAGATGAGGCAGATTAAAACAGAAAGTTTTTGTTTTATTTTGCTTTTGCCCTGAGGACACCTAGAAAATCAACACCAAGTTGAAACACTTTCCTATGACAGTCCCCAGAATTATAAATAAAATAAATATGTCACAGTTTTACATTTTTCATTTTAAAATTGATGACCTTCAAGTTATTTCAGAAATATGCCTAACAAGCCCCCAAGAAACATTTATAACAATAAATGTTTAGGTTGTTTTTTTTTTAAATAGCTTCCTATGGTTCTTTCAAGAAACCCCTGACACACTTCATCTGCATGCAAGTGGCTATATTCTCTTGTACCTTGATGTACAGCCTAGGTGAAATATTGTGAGCATAAAAATTGCATTTTGTAAGTCTGCTAAGGAAGAGGTCATGGAAAAGTCATCTTTGATTTGTTAATGGAATTTTTTTCCAGATGTAGTATATGGCAGCAGTGATGTGCATCCTAAGGGAAAAAACCGTCCATTTTATAAAAGTTTATTTTCATATTTTATACACTGTAGTTCTGTTGTGTGTTTTTGATTTAGTAACAATTTATGTGTTTTTCTGTCGCAGAGCACTGCGGCCTGTGGTGTTGAGGCTCACAGCGATGCCATCCAGCCCTGCCACATCAGAGAGGCCATTCGACGCTACGGCCACAAGATTGGCCCCCTTTCCCCGTTCACAGTACGTAATAACAGAGTTATAAAAAGTTATATTTATAATCTGAAAGAATTTTGATTTTCAAGTGGTCAAATGAAGAAGCAATGGAATTGTTGAAAGCAATTTGTGGTGACTGTAATTTTGTTGTATAAAAGTGGCATAATTCTCTTGGGAAATAAAAGTTAGTCATTTTTGTCTCTTTGGAAGGACAATTTTTTTCTACAAAATATTATTTTCTTTCAATTACAAATTATGCTTTTTTTGTTGGCCTTATATTTTCTATTTTTCAAAGCTTAGGTTCATAAAACTTTTTTTGTTAAATTATGTGTATCCAAATATTGCTAGAAGCACTTTATATTTTAAAATTGGTTAGATTGGCAATACCACTTCTATCAGATGTCCTGCTCCTAAACATACTTTGAGTTGGAAGAAGAAGAAATGATTTCTTTACTGGCTTTGAAGTAGGCTGAAATGTAGACAGTCTTTCACATCTTCAAATGGCTTTAAAGCTTATAATCACGGTTTGTTGTTGTTTTTTGTTTTAATGGAGAATTAAAGACTATATTTCAACAGCCTAAAGAAAGTGTGTGTGTGTGTGTGTGTGTGTGTGTGTGTGTGTGTGTTAATTAAATGCTCTTGTGGCCCTTTTAAAAAAAAATCTTTATTCATGTTAATAGAACTTTCTCCAAGTCCTTCTCTGTTTATAAGGAATTGGTTTGATTTTCAGAAAGTGAGGTTTGATTTATGACTGAGGAACAGTAGAATTTACAATTTGTTTCTTTTTTAATATTTACTTCTACTTTAACAAACTAAAGCAGAGTATATGTGTAATATTATACATACCTACGTAAGTATAACGTAGTATGTGTTTTTTCCTTAAGAGTGGATTTTACAATTATCTGTTGATGGAAGCCATGATTTCTTCTAAATTAGGTCATTTCCTTTTTATTTTTATCTAGTTAAAGGGAATGCCTTCTTTCTATTCTGTTTTAATTAGTTATCATTAATCATATATACTGTATTTCCCTATTATAAGATGCACCCTGTTTCAAAAAATTGGAGATCTAAAAACTGGGTGCATCTTATACAGTGGCTGTATAAGCGCAAAAACAAGTGCGAAAAAAGTGGGACATGCAAGTAAAGAAAAATTTACAACCACTGTATAAGATGCATCCAGTTTTTAGACCCCAAATTTTTTTAAAAAGGGTGTGTCTTATACATGGGGAAATACTGTATTTTTAATGTGACAGTAAGAATGTGTCAGAAGCTTTTCGTATATGTCTCCAGAAGCTTTTTGTAATGGTGACAGTTATTTTCACTTGTTTAATATTTAATATTTCTCTTACATATTTTGAAAACATGATTTTATTAGTGCTGACTAAAGCAATATATCCTTTTCCAGGAGTGTATTTTGACTATTACAATTAAAAAGAAAAGAATGACACCAAGTACCTCTTATTTTGTCTACCTGATAAGTGAGACTATGTCAAGCAATAAACCAAAAGGAAGATGAGATTTAAAAAAAATATGAGATGATTGGAAGAATTAAAAACCAGCTGAAATTGAAAACCAACTTATAACAAAGGATTAAAACTATCAAATCCATAGATAACAGCCAAATAATGATTAATAGGTTGAGGCAGTGGAGTCGAGAGAGAAAAGAATAAGGAGACAGGCTTGATAATAATCTAGACGTAATTAAAGGGTAGTAAGGAGAAACAGGATTTTTGAGGAATAACCTTAAAATGGTAACTAGAAATAATGGATAAAATTACATAAAGGAAAATGTATCTAATACAAGGGGAAAATCGCCTAATCATGAAGTCTGTGGTATTTCCTCTAAAGGAAGTGGTGGCAGTAGTGGCTGCTTCATCCTTCAAGTTTTTCATTTTAAATAAACTGGAGAGATAATTTGAGAACCATCTTGGTTGATGACATTTACACATGTATGTGTATTTGTATATGTGTGTGTGTGTGTGTGTGTGTATTCATTTCCCCATGACTTACATGGTAATCTATTATTCATGTCTTGTTGCTTTTATAATCTAAGATTGTAGTATATAGTCAGAAAATGTTCTTGAAACTAAGTTAAGATATAGTTTAAGCTAATTTTTATCTAATAAAAACATAACCGATATGCTTTTTAAAACTAATGATGCAATTTTAAAATGCTTAATTTAAATAGATCTGGAAACAGAACAAATAAGCCAGTACCTAGAAGGTTCTCTTAGCCACTGCCAGAGCAGATGGACAAATCAACAGCAAAGGGTAAAGAGCTCCACCACAGAGGGGCACCCCAGTTTCCGTCACTCCTCAGAAACGACCTACCTTGAAAGGTCTGCTCCATTACCTAGCTGTAAGAATTCGCCCAGCCTACAGGACTGAATATGCCTGTTCCATTTTATATCATGAGTAATATGATCAGGGAGACACCGTTTCATGGTGTATGTATATATGTAATATATAAATCTCCCTGTTAAAGTTAAAAATTCTCTTTAAAGTGGGATGGATTTGAGACTGTATGCTAACCATGTGGTTACCCTACCCTGCTGTCACATACCTTCTACTGCTAAAACGAGGTGTTCCTGGCATGGGGGAATGCTGATGTCCTGTTCCCTGATGCCCACTCCCTGAGGTGATACTTTATGTGGCACTAGGGACACTTGGCTACCTGGGCTTTGAGTTACATCTCCCAGAAGGAAAGGCGGCGTGTGGGCATAGACTGAAACCTAAATTTTCATCCAGAAAGGCTAAGCTAACTTACCGCCAACGTAAAATTCCCTTTGTAAACGAAAATGCCCATAAGCAACTACTTTATATTTATGAAACATAGAGATCTTGTCTTTGCAACATGTCATTCCAAAACTAGAGTGCTTGTCTGATGTACATATAAATATGGTATCTAATTTAGAGTAATCTGTAACTTGATTCATATGTAGCCAATTCCCAATAATTTGAAATTGATTTGGAGAATTAAAATAACACCCAGTAGGTTACATAGAAACTTAATTCCAACATAAATCAATAAACCAATAAAAAATCTGCTTTAAGTGAGGCATCATTCTCTCTCCTATGAGACTTCTAAAATGATTTTATACAAAATCACAGCACTGTCAGCTTCAGGAATATAATTCATTGTATAAAGAATTGTGAGCTCTTCTCTTCCTTTTGGGAAGTAGTTCAAATGATAGAAGAGAGGAATGATTAAAGCCATGTTAGATGGAGGAGAGGAAAGGGTGCAAACGATGCTTTGCACTCAGTAGCCGCGGGAGTAGAGGAAAGGGGGAAGACAGCATAGACAGCAACTGGTTGCCACTCAGGTGAGTTGCAGAGACATTTCTAAGCCACCTGTTGCCACTTAACCAATCATAGCCGTACAGACATCCCTGCTTTTACTGCGCTTCACTTGATTGCACTTCACAGATGTTGTGATTCTTACAAATTAAAGGCAAAACCCTCCATCAGTAAAAATATTACAACTAGCTTTATTGTGATACTTGCTTTCTTGCGGTGTGGTCTGGAACCAAACTCAAAGGATCTCCAAGGTGTGCCTGTACTGTCTTTGGCATATTGGTTTTCATTGGTGATCTCATTCTTTTCTATGTCATTGATTTTCAACCCTATGCACAATATCAGAGAAAGTATCATATCTAAAAGACTTGAGTAATTTTCTTGAGGTTAAGCTATTTAATTAGGCTAAATGATGGAGCCAAGACTAAAAGTTCAGGCTTTCCAACTCCCAGCTCCAAAATCTTTCTCCTAAAACACACACTTTTGCAGCTGTCCGCACACCAATGTGCCTGATCTTTTGTATACACATGCTACAGAACATTTCAAGAGATTAATTTTACTTCCTGCTTAGTGTTTATTTTTCCTAAGTAATTCTGAAAATCACTTCAGCGTCTGTGATTTGTAGTAGTTATTTCAGAGTACTTATGAAATCTAGAATGTCCTAAGTGATTTTGATGCTTGCTATCTTATATTGTTCTTTTACTCATAGTAGTTGATACTATTTGAGATCATACTATGTGGTGATCTAGACTTGATCCTAGAACCAAATGGCCAGGGTTCAGATCCCAGCTCTGCCACCTACTAGCTAAGTAGCCTTAAGGAAGCTTCTTAACCTCTTTGTGGCTACTTTCATCATTAGTAAAATGAGTATAAAAATAGAATATGCATCATGATGGAATTGAAGGAGTACTATCAATTTGATATGTAGTAAGCTCTTAATAAATTATATTAATAATAGGGGAAGTAATAGTAACAGTAGTAACTGTAATATATTTTCTAAGACATACTAGATAAGTATACAAACAGATTAAAGTAGAAGCTGTCCCCAACTACCAGCCAACAACACAGACACAGACACGCACACACACAGGCCTCACTTTGTAATCCCAGAAGAAACTAAAACCTGAATAATATGATTTATTTTATAGACTGAAAGTTTATACCATTAAAATTTAAATACCATTTAAAGATTATTGTTTCTGAGAATAAATACTCATTTTTACTTTTTGCATAAATAATGTTGAAGAACATTAATGTTTTTTATCACCATTATCACCTTAAAAAATAAGGTGTTAGTAACTGACTATACATAGTTACCACTCATTTTTTGCTTACTAGCTAGCTAGCTTTTGTATACTAGCTCTTATGAAACAGAAATCTAAAGAACAAATTTATAAAACTTTATCAAAATCAGTTTTTATGAGTTTATGTAATTGTGTAAGTTATTTAAAAAGTTTTCAGAGATTGATGAGTATATCAAAGTTAGGGATAAGTTTTTTTTTGTTTGTTTGGTTTTTTTAAAAGATTTTAAGATTTTATTGGGGAATTAAGGGAGGGGAACAGCACTGGGGAATCGGAGAATTTGCTGTCCTTTTGTTCTTCAGTCTAGTTGGGGAGGACGTCGCTTCACTGGCCCATGTTGGTATTATCATTGCGCTCTTCCTTGGTGAGGCAGGTCGGATGCCAGCCACTGGATGGTCACCCACAGCGGCTCTTGGCAGCTCACGCTGGCT